AATAGTAAGTCACTGTTTGCAGCCGCTTCGGATGTTATTATCCCAATAAATGGTCGTCATAGAGATTATCTTTACCATAGTATGGCTTCAGATTGTGCTAGTAGGCTCAGTAGGTTGTTATCAATTAATGAATCCTAACCCTACTCCTAAAGTCATTCCTTTTCCCTCATGGAGTTATTGAAACTATTTATGTGTGATCTAAAAATAATTTCAGTAGTACTTCATCTACTGTAAAAATAAATAAATAGAAATAAAAAAATCTGCATGTCGTTCATATTAAACAAACCAAAAACAAATACATCTCCTATCCTGTAACTGAGTTGTAAAATCATCTTCCTTTGAATATTTAATTCTCTGTGATAAAATACAGATTATTCTTTAATATGATCCTAGTGAAACAGACATGCAATGTTTGTTTTTAAAAGCTAATCTGTCTAACTGATCAAGTGAATATTATTTTTTTCTTTTTTATTCACTACAACCAAATCTGGAAAAATCAGGAAATGGTAAATGCCCTGTACTATATAGCGATTTTTAAAGAATAAAAAAAATAATAAAAATAAGACAAGTCAATCTAGTGGTATTTGCAAAAGGTTTCACATTTTCTCTTCAGCCATCAGGATGTTTCTAAAATAGGGCTTTCTGTACTTTTTCCTGCAAATGTGTCCTTGAAAGTATCACATGGACCTTATTTTGAGTCATTTCTATTGTTGAATCATACACACTTCCCTGTACTGAGCAAAGTGTTGCTTTTAGTGCTTTAGATGTTATTCTGACCTCTTGGATCAGTCTCCCAATAAGAGTAGCTTTGTGAAGAGTAGCTTAGCTGGAAATTCCTGAGCTGGTTCACCACTATTTTATGTTCTCTCTTTTGTGGACAACTGTCCTCCAAGGGTGTAACTTTGTGATGAAAGATGGTGGGGACTTTTTAAAGGCTGATGGACCTACAGTTACTCTACACAAATGCTTACAATAGGGTTTGTATTTTCCAAAAATGAGCTCAAAAATATTTACTAAAAGCATTCCTATTGTTTAGAAAACAAAGGAACAAAAATACACTGATATTTATATTTAAGGGTAGTTAGACATTAATGTATAAGAAATAAAAAAAGATGAATAACAGCCGATTCCAATGCCAAAAAGGAGGATTGATTGATGGATGTTTTCCCTTTCAGCTACATCAGTGATTATCTTCCTTCAAAAGCAGCAAAATCAACTTTAGAAATTTGTCCCACATATTGTTGAGGGCCAATGTCTATGGATTGAAATTATTGGTGGGAACAAGTCCACACCAGTCCTTCAGAAGGTTACGCCTGTGCTTTCCTCTCTGGTTCTCACTGGAGTCCAAAGCCTTAAAATGGCTTTGAAAATCCTTCAAGATGAACTAATCTGTGTGCCATTGCTTTTTTTTCCCCTATTCTTGAATTTCTTAAGATCTGTGCATAACATGCTTCTTTTTGAGACCTTTAGCCTACTTCATACTGTTGGATAGGTTTTTCAATTTCCATAATTTAAGGGTTTGACAATAAACATGCCTGGATGAAGGGGGGGAAATTGAACCAGAAATACAGTTAATCACTACTGACCCAGTACCTAATTAGGAAAAACAAGATATTTATAAGGGGGCAAGTCACATTTCTTATTACTGTTTGAATTAAGCGGTGTACTATAGTAGAAATGTCAAACATAAAAAGTTTTCTAAAATGCATGTGATTACCTTTAAAAGTTGCAAAAACAGAAAACAACCTCTATAGCTGCACAACATTAGCTTATAATCACAACATGTTGTTAATGATCTGATGTTGCTAATAACTTAAACTTTACAGCTGACATTGTGTTTCATCTTAATCAGATCAAGTAATAAGCAAAAGGTAATAATAAGTAATAAACAAACCCATCTTAATTAACATGTAAATTGTAAAAAAAAAAAAAAAAAAAAGGAATTATTATTATTGGAGATAATTAAACATCAGAGCATCATAAGCTTGAGAATTAGAGACACAGATATGACCCAAATACCCTACTTCTGTAAAAAGGATTATGTTGTTATGTTTTTTTTCTGGACCAATGTTTTTAATTAGGGCTAAGTGGCATTATTCATAAAGGCCATTTGGTTGATCTGGTGGCAAGTAGCCTGTTTAGAGGGGGAAATTAGATTTTTATCCACTATTGGCATCCAACCTGCATGTTAGATAACACGGGGCAAAGGAGCAGGAAACACAGAAGGGCATTGGAGCATTAAACAGCGAAAAGATTTCAAATAATTTTAAAGGGAAAGCTAGTTAAGAAGTTTTTTTTCTCCACTGTTTTTGTGTTTTTTTTTTAAACATAAGCCTTAAAAAAAAAATCCAGTTTTTTTACAGAAAATGTAATCAAAAGTTTATTCTGTTTATAAAAAAGTCAATAAAACCATGAGGTTATACGTGGGAGGGAGCTTTGAGCACAAGTCTCACATTTAGTGTCAGTGTAAACAGGACACGAGTCTCTAATGCTATTGTGGCATCATCTGTTGTGTCCTACTTCACAGCAGGCCCCTCTGCTGTCTGTAGCACTGGTGCCACCACTGGATGGATTATCAGACCCCATGAGGCCTGGGAAGCTATAATTGCATTTAATTTACTTAGTATGGTTGTAATACCAAAATCTGTGTCTGGAGTCATGAGAATGCCTTATGCCTGGATTCACAAACTGCCACCTGAGTTTGTTTCCTGGTTGCTTTTCCTCCATTTATTGATTACTCATTTATTTGCGGAGGTCTTTAATAGGGGGTCCGCAACCCCTAGGGGGTCCACAGAGGTACTGCATGGGGTTGCGAAAGTTTTGGTTTAATTAGACTTTTTTTTATATTCCCACCTGCATTTTTTTTCCAATAATTAAAATGTCTTTAAATACACATTAACATGAATTCATCACACAGTAGTAAATAGATACATGGGTGCAGAAGATATCTTTCAGTCATCAATGCACATATTCAGCGACACACAGGAGCTCTTTCAAGCTGGGCACCGTTTCATTCACAACACC